CTGCCTCCGAGCACTCAGCATGTGGCAATGGTCTTGTTACCAGTGTGATTATTAGATGAATGCCACCTCCCTCATGACACCATACTGTGAACATGGAAAACAAGCTTCTTACTGTGCCTAGCATATTAGTTAAAGCTGAGTGCACACCTTCAATCCCAACATTTGGGAGGCAGAGGCTGGCAGATCTCTGAGTGCCAAGCCAGCCTGGTCTACAGAGAGAGTTCCAGGAAAGACCCTGTCAATAATAATAATAATCTACAAAATGAATAGATAATGGATCTTAGACTATTGCATGGACATATATGCGTGCGCGCGCACGCACACACACACACACACACACACACACACACACACACACACACACACACGGATGGGGCTAGGAATATATGCTCAACTGGTAGAATGCTTGTCTAGCATGCATGAGGCCCTGGGTTCAAACCACAGCTACACATAAAGTAGGTACGGCAGTGCACACCTGTAATACTAGCTCTCAAGAGACAGAGGCAGGAGGATCAGGAATTCAGTGTCATCCTTGATAGACACATTAGGAGTTCAAGGCCAGTTTGGGCAACATGAGACCCTGGTTCAAAATAAAAATAGTATTTTTTTGTCCTGAAAAAGTAATCACTGCTAAAAATATTAGCAATGACAAGTCTATTTTTGGATTTTAAAGTAGGGTCTTATTCTTTAGTTCAGGTTATCTTTGGATTCACTGTATAGCCAAAATGGATATGATGCCTCCTGGAGTGCTGGGATTACAGGCTTGTACCACTATGCCTCACTTAATTTAAAAAAAAAAAAAAAAAGTATCAGAATAACAATTTGGCTTCAATTATAAATTGGTCACTATAACTAGTTAATTGCATTTCAGCCCCTGCTGGAATTAATACTCATTTGGATTCTGAGGCTCAACCACAGTCACTGCTCAACCACTGGGAAACTTGGGAAAAATGAGAAGCAGGTGCTTCTTCATCTAAGAATCACAGTCCCAGGCTAGCACTGGGTGACCTGAGTTTAAGATAGATTCAGCTGCCTTCCTCCATAGGCCAGAGCCCTTGTGTTTGGAGCAACTGGAAGTTTTAGACAGTAGTCTGTGAATGTCCTGCGGGGTAGCAAGTGAAGCAACACTATCTGTGACTGTGTGTGTTAATGCATATGTGTATACTGGGATAACAGCTTACAATAATTTGCTGTGTGTTTGTGAATATATGTCTCTATGTGTACTCCTGTGTGTAGAGACTCATGTGTGTGAAAGCCAGAGGTCTGTGTCACTCCCCCTCCTCCCCTTATGTTCTGAGACACTGTCATTGAACCTGGGGCTTGCTGATTAGGCTGGAAATGCTGACCAAGAAGACCCAGGATTCCTTTCTTTGCCTCTGCAATGCTGAGATCAGAGGCATGCTGCTCTACCTACCTCCACCCCCTGCGTTGGGGGGAGGGGGGAATCAAATCCAGGTCCTCACATTAGCCTGTGGTATATAATCTTTTTGCTGCTAAAGATATCCTATTTCCAACCACATACAAGATTTCTTTCAGTAAAACAGACTGAATATATTTAATAACTAACTTACTTATCCATCTTTATAACTCACAATTTAATAACCACTAAAATCATGTTCTAGAAACTATTTCATTGCTTTGCATACCCAATGAGGGGGGCCAGTTAACATGACAATGAGCATGCAAATGGAGATAACATTCCAATCTAGGGCAGGAAATGTTTTCATTGCTCTAAACAACAGCTGTTGTTGAAAAACTCTCATCCAGGGAGTTCTAGGTTCATGGGCCACAGCAGCAAGGCTCTGAAATTTCAATGGCTTAGGGCTCTGGGTGGGGCTTAGATCCTGGACAGGATCTGAAGAGCAGGATTTATTGGTTGGACTCTACTGATGACCATTCAGAGTCATTCCTCTGGGGAAATCACACATCATAAACAAGGATTCTTCTGAGACCCACAGGAGGGAGGGCACTAGTATCCAACATGGATCCTGTCTCTTCCGGAAGACATTCCCAGCAAAGCTTTCCTCCTGTCTTTAAACTCAAAGTCTGGATAATCAGATAATCATTTTGGTTTCAAGAGCCTTTTTGTTTTGTTTTGTTTTTCAAGAATGGGTTTCTGTATAGTTTTGGAGGCTGTCCTGGAACTCACTCAGTAGACCAGGCTGGCCTTGAACACAAAGAGATCTGCTTGCCTCTGCCTCTGCCTCCCCCATCCCCACCTCTCCACCCACCTGCTAGAGCTAAAGGCATTCACCACTGGCTGGTTCCTGGGGCCTTTAACAGTTATCAAGGATTCCCAAAGTACAGTAAGCAACAATCAAATGAGAAAGTAAAGCCAAGAGCAAGTTAAATACTTACACCAAATGAATTTGCTTCGTGGTAACAGAAACATTATCTTAATACAAGTGATTATATTTTGAAACCAAAAATACATGGGGAACAATGAGATTTTGCTTCACATTTTTGCAAATCAACCTGATGTCTGGCTAAATGGAAGGCAGTTGCTTCTGCATTTGACCTATGGGGACAGACATGTGTATACCACGCAGCCCCTAGTGAACTCCTCTATACATTCCTGGGCAACTAAATTAAAGAAAGCAGCTAGTTTTGGCAGGATGGCTCAGTGGGTAAGGGTTCTTGTCTCACAGCCTGAAGTCTTACAGCCCACAGCAGCAGAAGAAAACCCATTCCCAAGGGTTGCCCTCTTAACCTCCACACATGAACCATGGCACATATGCCCACACATCCAATAAAAAAAAAAGAAAGAAAGAAAAAAATTTAATAAAATAAATAACAGGCCAGGAGAGATGAGTCAGCAGTTAAGAGCATTTAACCCAGGGTCTATTCCCAGCACCGAGATGGGATGGATCCCAGTCCCAGGGGAACCATTGCTCTCTTCTGGCACTGCACACACGTGATGCACAAACATACATGCAGGAAACACACACACATAAAATACAAATAAAGGGAGAAGGGAAAAAGCAAATAACATCTTAGCATTATTTAAAATAATCTTGACCCTCTGAATTCCTTGTACTTAGGAGTCCTGGGGCCACACTCATGAAACTACCTCTTTGGAGCAACATTAATGATAGCTATCATTTTCTAGAACTCCAAATGCAACTTAATTTTGTTTGCTTATTGAGGCAAAGTTTCTTGTACCCCAGGATATCCTCAAATTCAAATTCATGAATTATAAGCCTATGCCACAACCTCTAGCTTATTTATATATTTATTTTACTCTTTCCCCTTATAAACCAGTGTCCCTGTTGGCTCCAATGTCTGCTGGACACAGGACACTCTCCATCTGGTCTCCTTGGTGGCTTCCAGTGCCAGAGTAAAATCAGGCTAAAGCCTCTTAACCTTAGCTCTGTCTGGTATTCCTGGTCTGGTGCTTTGCTTGTTTGGGAAGGTCCTTTGTTTTAAAATTGTGTGTGGGGGGGGGGGGGGGGAGAAGTGGCAACCTGGATAACTCAGTTTTCTCCTTCCACTATGTGTGTCTTAGGGACAGAGATATGAATTTAGGTTCTCGGTTTGACAAGTAAAATGCCTTTATCCACCAAGTCACCTCACAGGCTATTTATTGGCTTTTAAAGACAGAATTAAAAACCCCATAGGTCTGGGCTAAGCTGACTCCAGATCCTCTTGCCTTTAGCTCCCAAGTGTGGGATTTCCGGCAAGAATCACATGGCCTCTTCTCAATTTCTTCAAGTCCCACGTGGAATCTAGCTGCTATCTATTGATAAGCCTCAGATGGCCTGTCAGAGCCACCCTAACCCATTGCTGATGCTACCACTTCACGTGGTTTAACGGAAACAGGATGTGATGCAGTTGGTAGAGAGCTTGTCTTTCATGTAGGAGGCCCTGGATTTGATCCCTAGCTCCTCAAGTGGGGAGAAGGGGGTGGGGAGCCAGGAGAAGCCGGAATACTACATAAAACTTAAGTGTATGTTTTAATATTTTGATGTGTGTGTTCAACAAGTTGGGGGTCTTTGGTAAGGTGAAGGATTTCATTTTGTGTGTACTTAAAAGCATGCTAAAGTCTGTAGGCTTCTCCAGGCTTCTCAGGGGGGTCAGGGCAATCAGCCAGCAAGGGTGAGAGCTCTTTGTGGGTGTGACTAAGGACTCATTATTTCTAGGCAAAGCTGACAAGTTGCACGTGGGTGTTGCCCCACTCTATCTGCCCAGGCCAGGCTAGGAGCATAGCCACTCCCCCGCAGGACAGGCACCAACGCCTTTGTATAGTTCCCCCACTTGTGGAATGCACCAAGCTTTATATCAAATCCACATGGTGTGCCGGAGCAGCACGAAAGGGCTTGACCAGGCAGACAGCGCGCCCAGGCCCGGCCGGCACTGGGGAGATTGTAGCACCTATAAGGCCATGCGGGTCCCCCTCCCCATCTGGGGCCCCTGGGTGACAACTTCTGCTACAGGAAATTGGATCACTGGGGCGCCCTGAGTTCCCAGCCCTGACCTCTGGACTCTGAAACGAGCCCAACTAAGAAAGCAAAATCTCTGCCAAGACATAGCCAGAACCCACGCATACAGATGCAGGGGCTGTCGCTGAACTCTGGGGCGGGGCAACACGGTTCCCCTGTCCTTTCTAGCTCGCCATCAGCAAAATCCCTCGGCGCGCGTGCAGGCTATGTATGACCCAGTTCTGGCCACAGCGCAGCGGGGTACAAGGACCTGTCCCAGAAGGATGGCTCGGGACAAAGGCACACTGAACAGAGAAGGAAAACTCCACACAAGATCCCCAGGTCCAGGCAGGGCACACGCGGAGATGGATGGATCCGGGAGTCAGATATCACCCTAGACCTCGCCTGCTCCTGAGGTGACAGCGACGTACAGGCAGTGAGAATCCTCTAGGCGCAGACCCAGCGGAGCGCCCGCGCCCAACAGCTACCTCTTCGGTCCCCGCGGGCGACGCCCAGGTCCCACATCTGTCTTTCTGGACTGGCGCCCCCAGCGTACCCTGGTATTGCTCCCCTCCAACTCACATAGACCGACGTGATGTCCGAACGATCATAGAAGCTCAGCTCTCCGATCAGTTCCAGAGCAGGGGACACCACGTCGTCCCCGGCCTCCAGCTCTAAGTCCCCCTGCCCAGGGCCGAAGGGGAAAAGCTCCTGACGGCTCAGGCAGCCTCCGGGCCCCGCTAGCAATAGCTGCAGAAGCAGCACCCACGTCCACGCCGCGGGGCTCCAGCCGCTTGCGTCCAGCATGTTCCCCAACTGTAGTCCCGCAACCCCGGCGGCTACAGCTCAAGCGGTGGAGGCGGAGATGTAACCCGACGCCCCTTGGCAGCCCCTCCTCGCCTCCCGCCTCCCGACGTCCCCACCCCGGGATATAGGGGAGGGGAGTCGAGGGGCTATCGGGAGGGCCCGCCCGTCCGTCCCGTCCACCAATAGCAGAGAGTGGGAGGAAGAGCGGCGACCCCGAGGTCCCTGGCTTAGCAGTGGGCGTTGGTTCTCTGAATTCCCGACTCAATTCGACGGTGGGCTCCCATCCAGAAAGAAGGGACTCTGTAACTGCATTCTGCAGTCAGGCTAATTCCTGGAGAGCGAACAACCCGGAAACAAACACTTTGGAATCAGGGACATAGCCCACCCCAGGGAAAAGACTGGGCGGGTGCTGGAATTTAGCAAAAGGCCTGACAAGTAAGTGTGCCTTTATTCGTCCAATCATTCGTTGAGCTTTTTTTTTTTTTTTTTTTTTTTTTTTTTTTTTTAATAGTTTCTGATTCTGGGTTCCTTAAGTTATGAGATTCCGCAGGAAACAGGAACCCACACCTGCCAGACAAAGTAATAAGTATGGGACGCAATTCAAAGTAAGTTTTGCTGAAGCCCCAAGCAGTAAAAACACATTGGACAAAGCTTCGAGGGACGAACTGGGAATCAAACCAGATCTTCTGGAAGTAAGGCAGTTTCATCAAGATGGCCTGGGAGGTAGAAGGCTGGAGCAGGCTGGGTTCCAGGGACCCGACATCTCCCTACAGAGAATGTGGGGTGATCCAAATAAAGCTGAATTAACGAATCCGAGAAACTGAGCTCCCCTAAGACTCAGAGACCCCTGGACAGTTCTTGATAAAGAGGCAAGGGCCTTCTAAGTAATATTTCAAATCAGCTGTTGATCATTAATTTGACACTAGGTTAAATGAAAACACTGGGAAGAGGCCATTGGGACAACCTTGGTGGGGACCGGGAATAACCAGTGAGGTGGTTGAGAGGGGAATTGATCTAATAGACATTACAGTGAAAGAGAGAACGAGTCTAAAAGAAATGAAATTAAAGTTGAATTCCACCTAAAGACTGGAAAACCAGTACTGCCTGTGAGAGCAAGGAAGAGGATGCTGGAGTATGGGATATCCGACCCTTCCCTCAGAGGGGTCAACAGGATGCCCCTGTTTCCTCCCTGCGGCTGAAAGTAAAGGCCTGGAACCTCCATTAGTTCTCCCAGTATATAGAAAACTATGTGTGTTGTAACTGGTGGGGAATGTGAGCCTTGAACCAGCAAAATCATGAAGAAAGAGGCAAATAGAATATGGCTCTTAAGCATAAAATTACTATAAAATTATTGACCTACAGAGGGTCCTTCCATTTAAACTCTTGAGTGGTCATCAGTAACAGATACAAAGAGTTTGTTAGACAGTATTTCTGTGGGCAGTATTTCCTCTTGGGTTCATAATAACAGGTCTTCCTGCTGGCATAGTAAGCACCTTACCCAGTTGACCTCTCTCTCCAGTTCTGCTTAGGCACACACACACCTCCTCCCCAGCATGAAACCCAGGGCTTCTTCACACATGCTAGGCATACTAGGCAAACAGTCTGGCCAGGAACTTATTTTGTTTTGAGACAGGGTCTCATTACGCAGTCCAGGCTGGCATTAGTTCATGGCAACCTACTAGCCTCAGACTCCTGAGGGCTGGAATTACACCTCATCCAGCTGGCTATTAGCTTATTATGTTATTTGCAATGTGGGGACTTAATACACATCAAGGGCTTTATGCATGTCAAGCATCTCCACCTGTGTTGTTTACACTGCACTTAAAGCATTAACATCTATGTATGGAGTAAGGTTTTTCTGCCCGCCACCTGGTCTTGCCTCATCGCAGTGCCAGCCCCAATTAACACATCAAGACTCTGTATTTGATATAATGCTGTTGGCCAGGTAATAGTTTCTTATCGGCTAGCTCTGTCTTAATTATTAACTCATTTCTATGTATTTCCATGTGGTCTTATCAGAGAGAGGTGGTTGGCGGTTTTACCTTTCCCTTTTTTACCTTTAAAAAGATATATCTGGTGTCAGAAACGGGATCAGGATTTTCACGGGACCTGGGTTTCACCCAGGTGGCAGACGCCATTCCCCAACGGGCAGGGTCCCTTGTCTAACCAGGTGGACTCAGCACAGCTTTGGGACACATCTATGTTAAGTTGTATCTGTGCTGCTACATTATTACCGTCACTAAAATGTCTGTGTAGCAGTCTGTTATCAGATCTGTTGTGCAGCTCTCTGATCCCTTCCATATGCCCAGCTATACTTCCTAGCTTCCTACCAACTCTATGCCATCTATGCATAGCCCGGCTGATGTCTGGGATCCTGGGCTTTAACTTGTCCTGTTTCAGTCACAGAACTTCATACAGAGGCCTAGTTTCACCTGCACAGAGTACCCATAAGCCCCTACACCACTGAGAGCCACTAAAGGCCAAGAAACTGAGCCCACCAGCCTTTGTCTGCCTGCAACTGTTCTTTTTTCTTTCAATCCCCATCCCAAGCTTGTCACACATCAGGGCTGTCCCGAAGCTGTACTCAGTGCCTGGAATGCGATTATCCCTCTCACAGATTCTCTCCCTTTTTGGTACTCAGACAGCTGCTGAAACTCCCATTGGCTGGTGGAATTCTTCTTGATGACTGTAGGAGCAGGGCCTGCCTCCTCCTGCATCCTCCCACCCCCACTAACTAAGCTGCACAAGCGGGACAAGATTGCAAAGTTTCTATATCACTCTCATTTGACTGGGATATTTGCAGGAACAATCAAGGAATTGTTGTTATGAGGGATGGAAAAGGTCATCCCTGAAATCAGACGGACCTAGTCATTGAGCACATAATCCAGTCAATGCTGAGTTACCTTTATTATCTGAACATGTTGTTTTCATGAGGCTGATTATCTCAACATCTCCTGAGAAGGCACTATGAGTCAGATACCATGGCTATGAATACATAATCCCTTTTGTGAGAAACTGGCAATGTCCTGGGTGAGAAAGGCAGGATAATGGCCCAGCAGATACACAAAGAGTGAAGGAAAATACTGCTTGTGGGATTTTTTTTTTTTTTTTTTTTTTTTGCTTCTGCTTGGTGTTCTCTCTAGCATAGAGTCTGGTGCTGTTACAGTCAGGAGCCACATGGTAGATATGGGGAGTCATATTTGTAGGGAGAAGGTAACTCACCTGTCCTCATACAGCTAGTGAAAGAGCAAGGGTTCAAACCTTATTTTGTCTGACCCCAAAAAATGATATGCCATCTTGCCTTTCCACAGCTATTGAGGGTTCTCCAACCTAAACAGAGGCCCCTGTCTCTGTCTACACAGTAGGTACATTTGGTCCAGTGTTTATAGCTAACAGCCATGCTCTATTTATGAATGTTTATGGTCCCTTGCTTCATCAGCCTGTAGTATAAACTGGCTGTCACTATTTATAGCTCTGCACTCACTTCACATTACCCAGTCCCTGGGAGATGTGATTCTGCTTCTGGGTCTTCCGCCAGGACACTGTGGGCTGTGTCCTTGTTCCTTTAGGAGTTATAGTCCCAGATGTTTCTTATAATCATCATCATAGAAACTTCACAAACTGCTCTAAACATTTTCCAAATATGTATAAAGGCCAGGTGTGTTGGTACACACCTATAATTCCAGAACTCAGGAGGTAGAGACAGGGGTCAGGAGTTCAGTGCCATCCTCAACTTCATGCTGTTTTCAATGCCAGCCTAGGCCAAAACAACCAAATTGTTTATAATAGTGTGATCTTTTTCTCTAGATGTCTCATGTGATTTTTTTCTCTCTCTCTTTGGCCAAGGATCCATGTCCTATCTATAGGACACTATGTGCACAATGAAAGAGTTAACTGTTTAATAACTTAATAGGTCAGATATGGTGTTATAGATCTGTAATCCCAGCATATGGGAGGTAAAGACATGACAGGAGGCCAAGGTTATCCTTGACCACTTAGAAGGATTCGAAGCCAGCTTAGGCTGCATGAAACCTTGTCTCAACAAGCAAAACAAGGGATTCAAGAGGTGGCTTTAGTAGATTACTAAAACTAGTGTGTGTTGTTAGAAGCCTTGGGCTTTGACAAGTCAGGGACTAGACCATGGCTCCTGCCCAGCTGGTTTACAAGGTGCTGTCCTCTCTCTCACCCCCCCCCCCCCCAGAGGACCAGGGTGTGCACTGCAGAGGTAGCATCTGGCTGTGTCAATGTCAACACAGGGTGGAGATCTGCTTCCTGCTATCACTTGCCTGCCCTCTGCAGTTCTTTTTTTCAGATACCTCTACTCAGGCAATAACTGGATCCTTGGTCATATGGGCCAACCAGCCTAAAAAAAAAAAAAAAAAAAAAAAAAAAAAACTCTGGATGAGCTGGTGTAAAGAACTGGAGTTTATTAAAAATAGAAAGGCATTCGGAGAAGAATGGTAAGGGTGTGAGTGTGGGTTTCTCACAGGAATCTCACTTCTTGGTTCCCTGGTGGCTGTGTAGAGGGTTTTGGAAGCGTTTGGAATTTTGTTGTTCAACAGGTTCCAAAGGGGCCCTCCCCTCCTCCATCTGTTTCTCTTTTCGAAAACTGAGATTAGAGAGTGGCCTTCAGAGGCCACTTACATGGTATTACAATCTGATAAGATAAAACCAGGAGCCACTAGGGTTACGTAAGGGTTTGGGGTTAGGACTCGTCCTTTTACTGTAAACTCGGTTTCTAGGAAGATGCCTGGTTGACAGCTGAGAAGGGAGGAAGGCCTTAAGCTAATGCTGCTGTGTTGGAATGCAACAACCTGCCTTGCTCCACAGTGAGCTCTGTCCCCTTCTTCTGCCAGCTTCCCTTCCCCCACCCCCAGTTCCCGTCAGCTCCTCTTTGTTCTTCTGGCCACTTGGTCCTGATTCTGTATCCGCCCCCACCCCTGACCCCCAAGTATTCTCGGACCCTTTGGTGAATATGCGTCTGAAAACCAAATTCTACCTGGAGCCACCCCCAGCTCTTTGAATGGAACTTGAGGAAGCA